GCAGAGAGTCCCTGGTGGAGCAGGAGAAAAGTGTGGAGCAGAACTCAAATTCACATAAAAAGATCAGACTTAATGGTCTGACTGAGACTAGAGGAACCCCCGAAGCCATGGCCCCCCAGATGCTCTGTTAGCCCAGACCTAAAACTATTCCCGAAGCCCACTCTTCAGACAAAGATTAGACAGGACTATAAAACCTAAAATAATACCTGTGAAGAGTGTGCTTCTTAGTTCAAGCAGATACATGAGACCAAACGGGCAGCTCTTGTCTGGAGGCAGGATGAGAAGGCAGGAAGGGACAGGAGCTGGCTGGATCGACACGGGAAACCCAGGGTGGAAGGTGGAAATGTGTTGTCACGTTGACAGGGATTGCAACTAGTATCACATAACAATCTATGTGAATAAATTTTTGTATGAGAAATTAACTTGAGCTGTAAACTTTCACCTAAACCACAATAAAAAAAAAAAAAAAAGATTACAGCCTTGGAATCCCTATGGGGCAGTTCTGCCCTGCCCTTTAGGGTCACTATGAGTAGGAATCGACTGAATGGCACACAACAACATTTGTTACATGGCTCTTGCTAGTCTGGTTGAGGTGTTAAAGCCACCCACTTGTGTTACTTCTGTTATAGTAGCACTAGATAACTAAGACACTGAGTCTGGTTCTGTTGATTGCTTTGTCTCTTTACAATGGTTTGTTCTTCATTAAGTCATTCTTCATTATTTTGACTTAGGCTGGCCCTGTGTTCATGAGTCTTGGGTATGGGTCTTGATAAGTCATCCTGCCCACCTTTCCCCAGTAGTAGAGGATTTTTTCCTGTTCTTTTCTCTCAGCTGCCTTGGGTCTTCACATGTGTTTTAGGTGTGACAGGACTTGCTGACCTTTTCCAAGTGGCTTATGTCTTTTTTAGCAGACATAGGAGCAAAGAATCTGTGTTAGGTTTTGTACCCTTTCCCAGGTGGCAGCTGTGCCCTCTCCCCAGAAGCACACTACTGAGAGAAGTTGTCTTGCATCTCCTGTCCTGTCCCCAGTCTTTCTCATGAACTTTCTCATGAGGTCCATGGAAAAGAGCCTGTAATTGGGTATAGACTCCCCTAGCATCTGCACCTTCAGGGTTCTATAGTTTCAGGCTAGCTCACACTTTAGTAATTTGTTTAAATTTTTTAGCTGCAACCTTACTTGCTTCTATGGCAGTTCCATCTTCCTCCAGTGCTTCTCCTGTGTAAGCTAGTGCTCATGACCTCTGTCTCCTTGGGGTTGCCTATTCTCTTTAGATGTCATGCTAGTTGATTGCCATGATACCTCAACTCTCTTGGGGTTCAAAAAAGGGTACAATTTTGTAAATTATTTGGATTTTTCATTCTTTCCAGCTTTTTAAATCCTAAGAGGAAATTTGAAGTTCTGTCAACTTCTCTGAATCACTACTTGACTACTGTGATAGTACCTTAATCTCACTACTTCTGTCCTTCCAATCCATTTTCCACATTGTAATCAGAGTAACAATTTCTAAACACTTACTTGAATGCTCTGTTTTTCATCTCACTTCAGGGCCTTTGCACTTGCTTTTTTTTTTTTTTTTCGTCTAGACCACTCTTTCCCTCACCTCTTCAGCTTACATCAAATAACTTCTGTGCATCTGCAAAATTATCTTTCCTCAGAGAAGCCTTCCTTGACAATTACCCACACTGAGATTATATCAGGTCCACCTCTTTATATGCTCTCATGGTACTCTGTTCTTTTTTCTCTTATAATAAGTATACGGTTACCATTAAATAACTTTAGAATTGCTTCTTTACTGTACTTAATCCCTTTTAGAACATAAATTTCATGAACCATCTCTTTCTTGTTCACCAGTCTATATCTAGTGCTTAGTCAAGAAATATTTGTTAAATGAATAAATAAATAAAGTTGAAAAATAGTTACCTGCTGAGATCAATGGAGCTAGTGATAGAATTACAGTTTTTTATAAATGTAACAAATATGGGTTTTCCTCTGTGGTAATTGTTCTAGAAAGTTAACAAATGAGTGATAGACCCAGCCTCCTTAGAAGGCTAAAATAGGAAAAAGAACCAAAATTAGAGTCTGTGGAGATAGATTTGTACTCTTTAATGAAGAGCCCTAGAGTCTGACTGCAGTGTGGCTATGGAGTGTAGATACAAGTGTGAATGAAAAATTAGGTATGGATTTATCAATTTAACTTAAAGAAGAAATTTAAGTTCACTGCTTTGGCATGGAATGAAGAAGATTAAAGTATAATGAGGGCTCAATTATTAATGTGATTTTTATAAACTCAGTGAAAGATAGCAATAAAGATATGAAAAGGATGGTATAAATAAATGCTTTAGACTTCCCGTGGAAAAAAAGTAGAGTGAAATTTTTTATAATTTCTTTGGTGATGATATGGAGCCCTGGTGGAGCAGTGGTTTAAGCGCTTGGCTGCTGACTGAAAAAGTTGGTTGTTCGAACCCACCAGCTGCTCCGTGGGAGAAAGATGGGCAGTCTGCTTCCCTAAAAATTACAGCCTTGGAAACCCTATGGGACAGTTCTCCTCTGTCCCATAGGGTTGCTATGAGTTGGAATTGACTTGATGGCAATGGGTTAACAGGTTGATAATGATACAAAATAAAGTATGTACTTACACAGATTTTCTCTTCTTTTTAGCCATTGTTTTGTAACTAAACAATGAGAGATGTTTTTATAACCAAATTTTCCTGGTGTTGCTACCCTTAAAAATGTGAATGCAGGGCTTACATTACCAAGTACATTCTCTCCTCTATGATTTTTTCACTCTAAAGGAAAGTCTCCCAAAGCAATTTTATCATCTCCTAAAGCAGAGATTGGCAAACTTTTCCTGTAAAGGGCTAGAAAGTCAGTATTTTAGGCCTCGCGTATCATACTCTCTCTGTTGCAACAGTATATAAACATAGCATGAAAGCAGCCATAGACGGTATGTAAATGAATGAGCGTGGCTGTGTTCCAGTTAAGCTTTATTTATGGAAACTGAAATCTGAATTTCATATTATTTTCACATGTCATGAAATATTATTTTTCTTTTGATTTATTTTTAACCATTTAAAAATGTAAAACTGAAAATAATTCTTAGCTCATGGGTAGAATTAAAACAGATGGTGAGCAAGATTAAGCCCAATGGCCATAGTTTGTTTACCCCTATCCTAGAGTTTCAGCTCTTACTTGGAGCCCAGCTTCTCTCCTGAGTTTTGTGGTAAGATTTTCAAATATTCACTCAATATTATCTCAAAGTAAATGTAACAAAAATTAAGCTGATTCTTTTTGGTCCTGCTCTGTTTTAGACCCACTTTTCCATTTACAGGGCTTAATTAATGGCACCTACATCCCCCTTACTGACTGTGTAGAAAATAGGCCTAAGATTGCTATCCTTAGGAAGGCCTGTTTGCAAGGTTCGTCATTGGCTAGTGTCTGGGAACTTTGATTTTAGGAGTATTCCTACCATTCCTTAACTGATAAGGGTGGTTTACTGTGCCTGAAGTGTTTGTTGAAATAGTGTTGTTTATGCTGAACACCTACTTTTCTTCTGGGAGTCTGGAATTTTGGTACATGCTAGTCAGGAAGTGTGTTTATGACCAGCCCCCGATAAAACTTTGAGCACTGAGTATCTAATGAACTTCCCTTGTAGGCAGCATTTCACGTGTGTTGTCACAGTTTGATGCTGGAGGAATTTAGCATGTCCTCTGTGACTATAGGGAGAGACTCTTGGAAATTTGTACCTGGTTTCCTCTAGACTTCACCCTATATGCCTTTTCCCTTTGTCAATTTTGCTTTATATCCTTTCACTGTAATAAATCATAGCTATAGTGCATCTGTATGCTGAGTTCTTTGAGTCTTCTAGCAAGTCACCAGACCTATGGTAATCTTGGGGACCCCCAGCACGTTGGCCAAGCCAGCATCCTAAGAGTCATCCTCAGTGTTTTCCATCTTCTCATCCAAATGCTTTTATTTTAACCACTTACCCTAAATACCTCTCAAATTATTCTTTCCTCTTCAACTTCTTTATCCTTTCTTTGATTCAGACCAGGATCACATCTCACCTGTCTAATGCAATATATTCCTAACTGCCTGCCTTTGGTTTCTGCCTATTCCGGGCTATCCTATACAATGCCCCTTATACCTTTATTCATTTGTAAATTTATTTATTTGCTTGCTTGATTGCTTATTTGTTTATTTGATGCTAGGATGACCACATTAGGCCTGGACTTAAAATCATTCATGGTACTCTACTGCCTACAGAATAATGTTAAACTTACTAGCAGAGTATTGAAAGCACTTAATAATTTATCCAGTGTCTATCTTTATAGACTCCTGCCACTCCCCAACATATTCTTTATGTTATGGCCATACTGAACCATTTCCCTAAATAGGCTGTTTTATGCCTAAGTGCCTCTCCACCTGCTTTTTCCTCTTCCTGCTATGGCATTGCCTTTCTTCACCAGAACACAGATTGTTGCTCATCTTTTAAGACTTTGTTCCTAATTTGAAGTCTACTGTTTTTCTAGGTTGGTTAGTAGTTCCCTCTAGTTGCTTCCAGAGTACGTTACTCGTTTCTTTTTTTTTTTTTTTATCACATTGTATTTTAATTATTTGTCATACTTGTCTGTTCTCTTTTTAGACCATGTAATCCTTGACGGCCACGACTAGATCTTATTTGATTTAGCACAGGGCCTGGCAGTTAGTAGGTGGTGCACAGTAAGAGTGTTTTCAAGGATCAAATGTATTTTGTCTTCTAGTTGAAGCTATTGAATGAGGAAGAGAGGGAACAGAGGAAATGATGTGGGAATATGTATTTTCTCCTCAAAAGTTTTATTTCATGGAAGTTTATAGATTAAAATAGGAATATATAGATAAGGGCATAATTACTTATAAAATACATGTACATTATGATAAAAACAAAGAAAAAATCACTTGTAATCTTTTTGCCTTACTTTGCTACAGAACCTCACTGCATTTTTATTATTATTTTACATAGGTGGAAATGGATATTGTTGAAAAACTGGTAAAAATGATACCGTGTGAACATGAAGATCTGCTGAATATCACCCTCCGGCTTTTACTGAATCTGTCCTTTGACACAGGACTAAGAAATAAGATGGTACAAGTTGGACTGCTTCCCAAACTCACTGCACTTCTAGGTATGCTTTTTAAAAACCAGCAATAGTGTTGCTTGGACTTTCCATCATTAGTGGAAAATTGAGTTCTATGTTAAATAACCTGCTGGACAAAAAAAAAAAAAAAAAAATTCTAAATGTATTCTTTGATTAGGACTATGGGAACTGAATAATAAAAATAAGCAGAAGAAATTACTGAAAAATATTCTGTACCAGGATTTCCGTGGTACTGTGAAATGAAATGGGATAAAAACATAACCCTTTGACTTCATTTACCCATGTTAAACCAAACTGAAGGTATGCAAGTACTACCAGGGAGCAAGAAGGAAAAATTATTTTCTCTTCTGCATATTTTAAAAAAGCAGCTGTAATTTATGTTCTCATATTCTGCCACACTTTTTAAATACTGTTTACAGATACATGAATTTGTGGAGCCTTTTTGTCATTGTTAAGTAAAAAACGGCATTTTTGTATAGCATGAGTTAGAAAATACTGTATTGGAGGATACAACTTACAATAAGTTAAAGTTCTCTTTTAGGTATTAACAAGGTCTATATAGCCAGGAAGAATTCAAAAGTAACTCTTCTGTGCTCTCGTACATAATATTAACCTTCTTAACAGAGCATCAAAAGCCCTTTGTTATCGCTCCAGTATCTGTCTTTATAGACTTCTGCCACTCCCCAGTATATACTTTATACTATGGCCATACCGAGTTCCTGGATGTTGTAAATGGTTAGTATGTTCTACTGGTAACCAAAAGGTTGTTGGTTCAAATCCACCGAGTGGTGCCTTGGAAGAAAGGCCTGGTGATCTACTTCTAAAAAATCAGCCATTGAAAACCCCATGTATGTCACTTCTGCTTCTGACACACATGTCATCACCATGAGTTGTATTTGACTCGATGGCAACTGGTTTTCTTTGGATGGCTATACTGGAGCACTTGCAATTCCTTAAAGAGGCTCTTTTATGCCTAAGTGCCTCTCTGCCTGCTTTTGCCTCTCCCTAGAATGTCATTGCCTTTCTTTACTGGAGAGCAAATTCTTACTCATCTTTTAAGACTTTGTTCCTTTGTTTTAGTTAATACAATTTTATTCCTTTTTTTTATTTTATTTTTTTAGCTTCTCTATATATTCAAATATTTTCAACAATTACCAATAGTAATTTAATCTTAAGTAGTGGGATAAAATTAAGTTTATACTTAACTATGCAGTATCTATTAATCCAATATCTCATTGACATCATCTTTATAATTCTAATGATTTCATTTATTAAATGTTGCCATGTGCTTTATATATATTATCTTATGGAATCCCCATCTGCTGCCAGAGTTTGATTTATTAACTACTACATGATTAAGTAGATGAGACAGAGGCATAAATAAAAATTCCAGGTCTCAAAGCCCCCTCAAAAAATAAGTTTTAGGGACGACCACCCTACTCTTTCTCACCCTTTTGCTAGGAATAGGAAAAAATGTAGTCCACTGGTAAATACAAGAGCATTTATTCCATTGGTCAGTCCACAAATATTTTGCAGGAGTTTTGTTATACATTTTAGAAGATACTCTACTGAGGAGGACTTTCAAAAACTGCTTTGGGTAAACCAAAGCAATGAAAATACTTAGAGAGGAAAAGAAAACTTTAAAATTGATGAGCCTTGAATTTCATTCATGCGATCCTCAATTTATCATGTATCTGTTGGAATTATGTGTCAAACATAAGGTCAGATTCTCAGTGTATGAAGATAAATAGTACAGATCTTGTCCTGAAGAAATTCATAGTCTAATAGGTTTGTTTAGTATTCAGTCACCTACTTTTAGAAAATATTTACCTTGTAAGATATGCTGAGGAAGCAAATAATTTAAAAGTTTTTTTTTTTGAAAATTACTTGCATGATAACCATTTCATTTCCTTTTAACAAATAGTAAATTTTTGGATATAAGATTTTGTATTCAATATGTAGATATTTTCTTTATTTCTTCTAGAACTCAATTTCTGGAGTCAGACAGTCTTATTAGAATTGTGACTGTTTACTTCTAACTATGTGACCTTGAGCAAGTTACCAGAACTCTTTGTGACTTGGATTCATTCCTTCTCTCTAAAATGAGGATAATGATTGTAATCAGTTTAGAGTTCTTTTGAGGATTAAATGAGGTATTACATGTAAAGTACTTAGAGTAGTACCTGGCCCATGGTATTTTCTGATAAATGTTAGCACTTACTATCATTTTTCTTATTGTCATTATCATTATTATTCTTTGGTACAAAGTAAACATTGCTTAAGTGTTGTTGACTGATCTTTCTCTGAGTATAAATACTTTTCTCATAGATATTGTCTTTGTTGTGAAAGTAGGTAACATTATTTTTACTTCCCTGTAATGTACGTGCAGTTCAATTCAATTTAATGAATTCAGTAAGATGTTGATAACCCACGGTAGCTAGGCCCTGTGCTAAGTAAGATAGAGAAGTGTTTTTCATTCTGTACGTTTATTGTGATTCAAAAGAGAGAAAAGTTCCCACATTGGCAGGAGTAGAATTAGAAACACTTCATAGAGAAGGTAACATTTGAGATGTACATTGGAAACTGTCATTTTAACAGGGCGATATTTCCAAAGGAAGAAGGATAGATACTGTAGAAAGTATTTCAGATAAAGTGATCAACATTACTTAAGGCATAGATGAAGTTAGGCCAGTATGAGGAAGAATATTGCTATTTCAACTAGGGCATAGAATATAACTAAGGAAATAGTGGGAGATAGGTTTGGAAAAGTTTAAGTTTATGTCTTATGTGGTATTATGAAGTTTAATACTATGCTAAGGCATTTATACTTAACATAGTTGATAGTGGGAAACATTACAGGGTTTTGAGTTGGGTCCGTCATAATCAGAGCTCTGTTATAGGCAAATTAATCTGATGTCACTGTATTGATGGACTAAACCTAGAGTCTAAAAATGAGGAGAACCAATAGCCTGTTGCAGTAGGCAAGACAAGAAGTAAAGAAAACCTCAATTAGAGAAGAAATATGAGGCAAAAGGAAAAGGCAAAGGAGATGTATCACATGGTTCCTATTTGGATATGGGTAATGATAGAAAAGTGGCATAAAGGTCAGTGAGTGTTAGAATCCTAGTGCCAGGAACAGAAATAGAGAAGTCTGAAGGAAGTGGTCTGAGGGAATAAGTGATGGATTTGGTTTGAGATACACTGGAGACATCTTGGAACCCTGGTGGCACAGTGGTTAAAATGCTTGGCTGCGAACCAAAAAAAGGTCGGCGGTTCAAACCCACCAGCTGCTCCGCAGGAGAAAAATGTGGCAATCTGCTTCTGTAAAGATTTACAGCCTTGAAAACCCTGTAAGGCAATTCAGCTCTGTCCTATAGGGTCACTGTGAGTCACAGTTAACTCGAGGGCAGTGGGTTTGGTTTGTTTTGGAGACATCTTATCTGTCCAGTGTGCAGATGGATATTGGATGTAGAGATCGGGAGGGTTAATTTTTTTTTTTTTTTCCCTTAATGTCAGATAGGTGAACAAGAACAGGAAGAGGAAACCACTAAAGAAAACAAAACAGCCAGAGGGATTTGCTTATTTTTAAACAAATACCTGAAAAAATGCAGCAAGTTTAAGCTGTAACTAAGATGTGATGATGATCTTGGAATCTTCATGCAGTCAGGGAATGAGGAAGCTTCGAGTAGGGAGAACAACTGAAAACTATTTTAAGTCATTCTTTCACAGTGTTGCTTCATTATTTTGTTTGAAATAGTAATTCCTAGGACATCAAAATTTCCTATACTAACAAGATTAAAGAGATGGTATTATTCTAACTTTACATTTCTTACCTAGAGATGTAGGAATTTAAAAGTTTCTATCTCTGTTCTTGGCTGCTCTGTAAAAACTGATTGAAAGTGCTGATTCTGTTTAGACATTTATAGTTAGATCTACCTTACTTTCTTGGCTTATCCTCCTTTGGTAAATAAAATAGATAATTGGCCAAATAAAATTCCTCATAAAAATATCCACAAAAATTTTCTTGGAGAACAAACTTAAAAATGCCTAATAATAAGGTGTTCTGATTTGAATAGTTGTTGAAAACAAAGAGCAAGTTGGTTACCGCTCAGCTCTTTTGCTGTGTGAGCATGTCTTTTGATCTGAAGACTAATAAGTAGACTTTAAAATCATTACTTTAAGAGAAAATAATTGCAAAACAATGTATACCACATAATCCCATTAAACTATTGTTATAGAGAGAGAAAAAAATATTGTTGTTTAAGTAAGGATTCAGTATGTCATGCCGTTTTTGGGTTGTTTTTCCGTCTTTCATTTCTAACAGTCATTAAATTTTAACCCAGGCAATCTCTTTTGAATGTTCACAAGTCCTTAGTGACTTTCTGTATTTTCTCCTTTTAATTCTATTTACAAACCATGAAATTAATGGCAATCATACATAATAAGCAAAATATAATGTCTACTGATGGCTCACTGTGAGTCATAATAATTGACTCGACAGCAGTGGGTTTTTAGTGATGTTCCAGGATCAAGGAAAGGGAAAAAATGTACATTTTGAGGGGAAATTAAATACAATAGAGAACAGTACCTTCAACTTCTCTAAAATATTTTGAAATGTTTACAAGTATTCAGAATATAAGTTTCCATCTCTTGACTTATTTTACATTATTTTAACTTAATTATTTTTAATGGCACCATTATTTTCTGCTCTTTTTCATTTAAATTATGGGTTAAATAAGTTTTTGCAGACCCTTTATCAGGTGAGCCTATGAAAAAACATGTTCCAAATCCCAAATAACTGATTCAATATGCACTTTTGGAACATAACCATTTTGTACATTTGTTTCTGTGTTATCATATCTCAGAAATGGCCCTTTTATTTAACATTTTCCAGGAAAACCTATCCATTAAATAAAAGTATTAGTCATGAGGACAAGCCTATAATGTTTTAATAAACAGTTCTAGGATCTCAGTGGGTAAAGACACAGCAAAGATTTCTTTGTTGTGTGCCCTTGATAGGTGAATAG